TTTAAAAAAATTAAGGTAAAGTAAATAGGAAACTTATTTAAATTAACTTGTGGATTTATTATGTTTTTATTTGTTTATTGAATTCTACAATATATAATATTATAGTATTTATAGAATATGTTTACTAGAATATCCGTATATATATATATATATATATACAGATGTATATGTATTTGATATATTATGTATTGTATTTAATTTGGTTGGCTGAAGAGCCGTGCTAAAGCTGCGAAAGCGCTATCTACCTACCTACCGAAACCAAAAATATAAATAACATATGATATTTCGAACTTGATAGTGCTTTAAATATTTTAATATATTTATTGCGCTCGAGAAGATCACACCCATATATGTGAATATATATATTTCATATTTTGAATATGCTGTATAGGTAAGGAAATAGATAGATGTAACTATAGATATTTGGTAACAAGGAACCTACTTTGAAGATCGCTGTCTATTTTGGTACAACATATATAAAGTTACTAATGTCTTCCCTGCTATATAGCTTGTGTGATACTCTAGTGAGCTCACCCAGTCCCTTGTGTAACTAGTATAAAAAGAACTGAGTTGTTCTTTTGATCACCGTTATATATTGGAAGATAAACATACTCCACATACACAAAAATTCCACTTACTCATTACGGGAGTAGAAAAAGTATCGTATTCTTGCATATCACGGTGCGTAGTTACGGTTATCATACTTCCCGATTGACGAAAGAGGAATTTGCTCCAAGGGAAGCAAGAAACCTGGAACATCGTTATTATAAATCAAGATTAATTAAGAATATTAATTACCTTTTGGAAAAATTAAAGCTATTGTTTAATTGAATATGGCGTCGGTTAACTCATTTTTCGAAAACTCACTTTTTTCGGCTCCTTAATTCACGCCCCTCAGTGCCACAGCGGTATGTCTGCGAACTTACAACGCTAGAATCCGGGTTTCGATATCTGTGGTGGGCAGAGCACAGATAGTACAAATGAACGAACAAACCTTAATTCACTGTATTATTACACTCTTCACGTCGGTATTGTGGATGTTATATTTATGTTGATTTTTCTAGACATAAGTTCCTCAAAGATTAAAGAAGCAGAGCTCCTATAGCTCATTTTTTATAGGAGAGTATTTATTTTATATCTGTAGCCTATCCTCATACTTGAAGAAACCTGCAGTGTGTGTTTTTTATAACTCCATCGTTCAGCTCTTCTGTTTTCCCAGAACATTTATAAACACGATACAAGTACACAGATGAATTAGCAGCTTTCCTGTAAATTACTTTTTGTCTTTTGATTTTCTAATAAAGCATATCATTCGACTGAAAGTTGTCTTAGAAACACAATAGTCTATTGTAAATAATAATTTTCATAACCTTACTAACTTGTATATTTTATAACAGCTTATACAGGACTTTCCATAATACGTCACTATTCGCTGGTAAAAGAGTAGCCCAAGAGTTGGCGGTGGGTGGTGATGACTAGCTGCCTTCCCTCTAGTC